TCTTCTGGGTGCGATTCAAGGTGTTGGTCACCACCTTTAAAGCGCTCCATGGCATAGGACCCGGGTACTTCGAGACCGACTTCTGCCACCAATAGCCTCCCACCGGCCAGTTCGCTCCCACAGAGAGGGTCTCCTCAGGGTGCCATCGGCCAAGTTATGTCGGCTGGCGACACCCAGGGGGAGGGCCTTCTCTGTGGGAGCCCCAACCCTGTGGAATGAACTGCCCCCGGAAATACATAAGATCTCCGACCTCCGGGTATTTCGCTGTGCACTGAAGACCCTGTTGTTCCGCCAGGCCGGGCTATCAACATAATAATTTTAAATTGGGGTATTTTAAATTTCTGGGGTTTTAAATTGAGCCGAATTTATTTAATAATTTTTAATTTTTAATTGATGTTTGTCTTGTGTTTTTAAATAGGCTGTACACCGCCCTGAGTCCTTCGGGAGAAGGGCGGCATAGAAATAAAATTATAAGAATTATAAGATAAGATAAGAAAACTTTCTAAAAGTATGCCACCTGCTTTAAAAATAAATGGAAAAAATGAACCAGGGTGCAGAGAAGAGCCACTAAGATGATTAGGGGACTGGAGGGTAAAACACAATCGGTTCGGACCGGTTCAAGTGAACCGGTAGCGGTGACACAAACTGGGAGAAAAATGTGTATTATAGTTAGAGGGCTTGGCGTTTGTTTGAACAGGGCAAGTTCCAGGCTGGAAGAGAGGAAGCCCCCTAGGAGAAGCTGGCCGGCCTCCATCGAATCGGTTTCCTTTTGGCCCAGCCTTGCCCTTTGCTAAATTTATAGCTTATCGGATTCCCCCAGGAATGTTAACCATACCAGCCACGGACGGAGGCCGATCCGTCCAAGCTACACCCACCAACACCAGTCGTGTCTCTGCGGGGTGTGAGCGAGCTTTGGCACCGCCCGAGCTTTGTGTGCAGCGAAGAAACCCTTGCGGTAAAAATAAAGCTTTTTCTAAAAATGACCCATCCACACACACACACACCCCTCCCCGGCTATTTTAGAATCCCGGAATAGCTTTCCCTGCTGCTGCTGCGTTATCTCCGGCCTATTTTTAATTCCTCAGCAGAGAGAAATTGTCTTCGGGTCTGTTTTTCTAAGTGGTCATTTGTGGCCATTGATGAACTGGGATTCTTCATTTTGGCCTCTTTGTTTCTGTACGGCAAACAAAACCGTTTTGTTTTCCTGGTAGGTTTTCCCAGCGTACCTGAAAGAAATTACAGAAGAGAAATCTCTCTGTAGATCACCTGTCCACTTCTGCAGTGTTATACATGTCCCTCCTGATTTTCAGCATCTAACTTTTGCTGCACCGTTTCCTCTCCAGCTGTAGGGAAATCCCTCGGGTTTTTGGTACTAATATTATAGCTTCCTTTTTTTTTTCCCCTCCTCCTCCCTCCCCTTCATTCCTTTCTCTCCTGCCGTGCTTCTTAGCACAATTGTTCATGATATTTGCCGGCCACAGTGGCTGCTCGTTTCCCAAAAGGACAGGACCCAAATCCCTTCAATCAGTAGCTTATTTTGTCCCTCATTACACCCCATAATCGGGACGCAGTGGCTCAGTGGCTAAGATGCTGAGCTTGTCAATCAGAAGTCCGGCGGTTCGAATCCCTGGGGCCGCGTAACGGGGTGAGCTCCCGTGACTTGTCCCAGCTTCTGCCAACCTAGCAGTTCGAAAGCAGGTAAAAAAAAATGCAAGTAGAGAAATAGGAGCCACTTTTGGTGGGAAGGGAACAGCGTTCCGTGCGCCTTTGGCATCGAGTCATGCCGGCCACGTGACCACGGAAACGTCTTCGGACAGCGCTGGCTCTTCGGCTTTGAAACGGAGATGAGCACCGCCCCCTAGAGTCGGGAACGACTAGCACGTATGTGCGAGGGGAACCTTTACTTTCTTATACCCCATAATGACATTTTCTTTTGGGAAAGCTATGAGAGTGACAGTATCATTCTCCCTTGGTTAACCCTGCTTATCCTCGCGCTTCCTAAATAAACACCTTCAGTTGCTCTAACCAGGGAATCCCTTCTGCCAAACAAAAACCCAACAAAATGAAATTCATTGGTGAAAATTTCATTTCATTTAATTAATTCAATTTATATGCCGCCCCTCTCCGAAGACTCAGGGCGGCCTTAGAAGGTTCTACATTTAGGCCAGAAAAACCAAAATGCACAGGTACCGTATCTGTGGTACCTTGCTCAATAGTAGTAACTGTGGGAGGGATCTTAGTGGAGTCCTAGTGGACAACCACTTAAATTTGAGCCAGCCGTGTGCTGCAGCTGCCAAATAAGCCAACACAGTTCTAGGCTGCATCAACAGAGGGATAGAATCAAGATCAGGTGAAGTGTTGATACCACTTTATAAGGCCTTGGTAAGGCCACACTTTGAATCCTGCATTCAGTTTTGGTCGCCACCATGTAAAAAAGATGTGGAGACTCTGGAAAGAGTGCAGAGAAGAGCCACAAAGTGGATTAGGGGACTGGAGGCTAAAACATACGAAGAACGGTTGCTGGAACTGGCGATGTCTAATTTAATGAAGAGAAGGACTAGGGGGGATATGATAGCAGTCTTCCAATATCTCAGGGGCTGCCCCAAAGAAGAGGGAGTCCAAAGCCCCCGAAGGCAGGAGAAGAAGCAACGGATGGAAACTCATCAAGGAGAGAAACAACTTAGAACTAAGGAGGAATTTCCTGACAGTGAGAACGATTAATCGGTGGAACAGCTTGCCACCAGAAGTTGAGAATGCTCCAACACTGGAAGTTTTTAAGAAGAGGTTGGACAACCATTTGTCTGAAGTGGTGAAGGGTTTCCTGCCTAAGCAGGGGGTTGGACTAGAAGACCTCCAAGGTCCCTTCCAACTCTCTTACTCTATTCTCTCTCGGTCCACTATCCTCGTTGGTTTTCGTGTCCTGCATGTTGTGAAGGCCTTTTGGACACTTTCCTTCCCCCCTCCAAGTTAAATTGACGCCTGCGCACCCAAACCTGTGTTTCCGAGAGCACAGCGGGGGCTGCCCCAAAGACCTTCCCCTACACCCACCCACCCACCCACCTACCCCTTGCAAGCCTCCCCTTCGGCCTCCCAAATTGGAGAGCGGCCCTCCCCGCTTGCCTTCTACCTGCCCTGCTGCTGATTCCCTCCCCCCCCCACCCTTTCTTCGGTCCCTGAACAGATTGGATGTCATTAGGCACAGCTGAGCTCAGTGGGGGAAGACAGACACATATGCGTGAGTGTGCACACACACACACACATTCTTAGTAAGAGCAGGGAGAACAGCAGACCGGAGGCAGGGGGGGAAAAAATAGCTTTTTGCACCCTGGAAGAGACGTTGCTATTCTCTCTTCCTGGCTCCTGGCGGCCTCCTCTAGTTGCCCCACCTGCAAAAAAGACTTTTTTGGGGGGGGTGTTGAAAAACCCCTGCCCTTAACCTGTTAAAAGACTTCCTCATCACCCCTGTCGGCAGAAAATGACAAAAAATTGATCCCTGCCACCATCAGTCTAGTTTTGGGATTCCTCCCAAGTTACCAAGGTGGTTTATGTCTGATTGTCTGTCTGTTTGTCTGTCTGTCTGTCTGTCTGTCTCCTCCCTCTCTCTCTCTCTCCCTCCCTCTCTCTTTCTCCCTCTCTCTCTCCCTCTCCCTCTGTCTCCCTCCCTCCCTCTCTTTCTCCCTCCCTTTCTTTCTCCCTCCCTCCCTCTCTCTCTTTCTCCCTCTCTCTCTCTCCCTCTCTCTCTTTCTCCCCCCTCTCTCCCTCTCTCTCCCTCCCTCTCTCTCTTTCTCCCTCTTTCTCTTCCTTTTTCTCCCTCCCTCCCTCCCTCTTTCTCCCTCCCTTTCTCCCTCCCTCCCTCTCTCTTCCTCCCTCTCCCTCCTTCCCGCTTTCTCTCCCTCCCTCTCTTTCTCCCTCCCTCCCTCTCTCCCTCCCTCTCTTTCTCCCTCCCTCTCTCTCTCCCTCTCTCTCCCTCCCATTCTCCCTCCTCCCCGCTTTCTCTCTCTCTCCCTCCCTCCCTCTCTCTCTCTCTCTTTCTTTCTCTTTCATTCTCCTCCCGCATTCTCCATTTTCTAGATTCTAAGGGTCGGTTTGCATCTCTGACCACCTGTGTGTCTGGTTAGCTTAAAAAGGTCAAGCGTCCATGCTTGGCAATCTGTCACCTGTCCTTGCCTTCCTCAGCCCCTGCCCCCCAAAATGTCCAGCCCCTCAAGTCTTCTTCGGTTCAAGCCAGGCTAAGCATTTAACAAAGCCAATTGCACGTCCTAGGCCGAAAACCTTCCGATTCAGAAGCATCAAACCGTCAAACGGAGAAGTCCTCTTGGCCTAGTTTGGTGTCCCCTGGCGCAAAGGGGAGAGAGCGACGGGAAAATGGGACATTTTAAGTTTAGCTTTGTTTTCCCTTCCTGCACCACACTATAAAAAAGAGGTTGAGACTCTAGAAAGAGTGCAGAGAAGAGCAACTAAGAGGATGAGGGGACTGGAGGCTCAAAGATACGATGAACGGTTGCAGGAACTGGGCATGGCTAGTCTAGTGAAGAGAAGGACCAGGGGAGACAGGAGAGCATCTTCCAATATTCGAGGGGCTGCCCCAGAGAGGAGGAAGGGGGTCAAGCTATTCTCCAAAGCACTAGAAGGCGAGACAAGGAATAATGGATGGAAACTGACCAAGGAGAGATTCAACCTAGAAATAAGGAAGGCAGAATTTCCTGACAGTGAGAGCAATCAACCCATCGAACAGAAGTTGCCTTCAGAAGTTGTGGGAGCTTCATCACTTAAAGCTTTCAAGAAGAGACTGTACTGCCATCTGTCAGAAATGGTGTAGGCAGGTCTCCTGCTTGGGTGGGGGGTTGGACTAGATGACCTCCAAGGTCCCTTCCAACTCTTGTTAATCTGTATCTACCATTATACTGGGAAGCACATGTGATGCAAGGATAGAGCTGAACCGCTTTGCCATTCAGATGAATTCCATCCTCTCTCTCTTTCTCTTTCTCTCTTTCTCCCAGGAGATTTTCCAGGCAGCAGATCAGGAAGAAAAAAAGCGCAGAGGAACAGAGCTTCCAGGGAGGCAGCAGAGCGCAGAGTCTTTTGCGGCTAACCGTCAAGGGACCGTGCCAGGGTTTTCCGTAGCTGGCTTTTCCCTTGGCTCCCCTCCACGGGTGAGTTTGCGGCCAACTGTTATCCAAGGGTCCTGAGACAAGTTCCTTTTCCCACAGTCCTTGTCGTTTAGGGAGGTCAGAGGCCGGTGCTTTCAATTAGGCGGAGTGGCTGGCCAGCTCTCCGTTTCATTTTTATTTTTATATTTTTTTTGCTGGCCCCTTCCTCTCGAATCCATGGCGCCCTAGAAGAGAATTGCTTAATTCCAATGGGAAAAAAACCTCATTGGAGAGTCTGCTTCTCCCCTACAATCATTGGGAAGTGGGACCTGCAACCAAGCGGGTGAATTTCTAACCTCTTGCTGCCACGATCGGTTCCCAGAATGCCCCATAGGGAATTGAATTGTGGGGCCTTGTGGGAAAATGGAAAGGAGAATTTCAACCAGCTGTTTTCCAGGATTGTTGTTGTTGTTTTATATATCAGAAAGGTTGGCAGTTCAGCGGTTCGAATCCCTAGTACAGGCCTCCTGTTGGACTAAATGACCTTCAAGAGCCCTTCCAACTCTGTTACTGGAGAGAGAGGGAGGGAGGGAGGGAGGGAGGGAGGGAGGGATGAAGAAAGAGAGAGAAAGAGCGAGAGAGAGGAGATCCACTTTGGAAGGGCTGAGTAACTTGGAAGGACAGACGGAAATCCCCCCAAAAATGCTCTTTTTCATTGAAATGACTCTTTCATCAACAGCAAAGCTGGGAGGTCGTGGCACCGGCTAAATTTAGTCCCGAGGTCGTACAAACACACCGAGTCCTTATCCAACGGGTTTTTTTTTTTTTTTTGGTCTCTTTAAATGTCTCTCTCTCCCACCTGTCCTCCCAGCGATCCTGATGCCATGTCACCGGCCTGAGATGGGTGGCACCAGATCAAAAATGCACCCAGGTTTTTTTTCTCCTATCGCAGCTAGTCCTCAACGTATGACCGCAATTGAACCCAAAATGTACTGTAGGTTGCTAAGTTTGAAATTTTTAAAAAGTGAATTTTGCCCTATTTTACGACCTTTCTCCAGTGGTGGGATTCAAATTGTTTTACTACCGGTTCTGTGGGTGTGGCTTGGTGGGCGTGGCATGACTTGGTGGGCGTGGCAGGGAAAGGATACTGTAAAATCTCCATTCCCACCTCACTCCAGGGGAAGGATACTGTAAAATCTCCATTCCCTCCCCACTCCAGGGGAAGCTTACTGCAAAATCCCCTTTTCCTCCCCATCAGCTGGGACTCGGGAGGCAGAGAATAGATGGAGGCAGGGCCAGTCAGAATTTTTACTACCGGTTCTCCGAACTACTCAAATTTTCCGCTACCGGTTCTCCAGGACTGGTCAGAACCTGCTGAAACCCACCTCTGCCTTTCTCACCACATTTGTTAAGTCAATCTCTGCCGTTGTTAAGTTCGTCACACGGGTCGTTAAGCGAATCCAGTTTCCCCCAGTCTCGTTTTTAAAAAAAAAAAACCAGGAATCGGGATTAGAGCCAGCGTTGGCCAATTTTCCTGTTCCAAAGTGAAAATATTCCGGTAGAAATATTGAAGGCTGAAGTTTTGAATTTCTTGCATTTTTAGAGTATGCCTTTCCACTGAACCGGTCTAAACGCTCCTCCGTTTCAGAACGCCTCCAGGTCCCTTCTTATTTAAAATTAACTGCTTGGTTCTCTGCCAAAGCTCCCTAGAGAAATAATGGTAGAAAATCGGGGGGGGGGGGGGGGGGGGCTGTTGCAGTACAGTTTCATAGTGTGGGGTTATTCCCCCCCCGCCCTCTTTTTAAAGTCCCTCCTTCTGTTTAGCGCCAAAAGAAAATTCACCCATTTTGGCGGAGGCGGGAAGGCGAAATATATTTTAATCCCTTTAATATTTTAAAATTTAATTATTTCCAAATTGGGTTAGCCAGCCTGACAAGCATGCCGCATTCAAAACAGAGAGCCCAGAGGCGGCTTTAGGAATTAGATGAGAAGAAAGAGAGAGAAATAAGACTTTTTTTTTTTTTTTGCTTTAAGGCGAGAAGTTGAAGGACCGACATTCCATTACTCCGTCTGTCTGCTGAATTCATTTAACATCTGTGGCTTAAATGGAATAGCTCTAAAGAGACCGTCTGCAGGCTGTGCTTGGCTTGTTAAGGGAATTTCTCAAACCTGATCGGGCTGTTGCAGTGGAAATAATGCCAGCTCACTAAAAGCTGAGTTTGCCCTCCTCTGCTTGGGTTGTTTAGGAGCGAGCGAGCGAGCCCAACATTGGGCTTTGTCGACTGCGATTGACGGCTTTTATTTATTTATTTATTTATTTATTTATTTATTTATTTATTTTATTAAATTTCTATACCGCCCTTCTCCCGAAGGACGCGGGGCGGTGAACAGATGAACAAGATAAAAACACATAAATACAAAAATTTAAAATAGATTAAAAACGAATTAAAATAATTTGGCTGAATTTAAAATACCCCATCATTTAAAACAAATTAAAATTTATATTTAAAAGGGGAGAAGATTTAGGCCAGGCCAGCTTGATGAAATAAAAAAATCTTGAGCGTGCGGCGGAAAGGTGCGCAGATCCGGGATCCTCCGTATCTCCAGGGGGAGCTCGTTCCAGATCGTAGGTGCCCCCACAGAGAAGGCTCTCCCCCTGGGGGCCGCCAGTCGACATTGTTTGGCCGACGGCACCCGGAGGAGCCTCTCTCTATGGGAGCATACTGGCTGGTGGGAGGCTATTGGTGGTAGCAGGCGGTCCCGTAGATAACCAGGTCCTAAGCCATGGAGCGCTTTAAAGGTGATAACCAGAACCTTGAAGCGCACTCGGCTTAGCGGGTTCATAGAATCATAGAGCCCAAAGGGACCTCGGAGGTCCCCTATAAGCCGGATCCCTGCTCTGTGCCAGGAGAAATGTTTCCGGCAGCTGGCTGTCTATCCTCTGTTGGGCAACCTCCAGCAAAGGAGAAGGCAAACCCCTTCCTGGCGTAGCCTGCTGCATTGGCCAGAAATCCCCTCCTCACATTTAGCGCGGAAGTCCTTCCTTGCAGGTTTAATCCATTGATTCTTGTCTTCTGGGGCAGCAGAGTTGCACTCCTTTTGAGCAAGAGTCCTTAGATACTTGAAGATTACCATCAGATCTCTCCTCCGTGGTCTCTTCTGTAGACCAAAAGATCCCCAGATCCTTTAACTATTCCTCCTAGGGCAGAAGTGTCCAACCTTGGCAACTTGAAGACTTGTGGACTCTAACTCCCAGAATTCTTCAGCCAGCTTGGGGAAGTCCACGGCAGAGGTGGGATTCAGCCAGTTCGGACAAGTTTAGGCAAACGGGTAGTTAGCGACCTGCGGGAGGGGGGGCTCGCCCACCCACCCAGGGGCAATCCTGTCCTATGTCGCTGTGTTTTGTGACGCCGCACGCACCCGCGGATGACACGTGAGCGAATTGCCGTGTTGTTTGACTTTGCATGCATGTGTGGATGGCGCGCGAGAGCGAATTGCCTCCAGAGCGCCTCCGGACCACGGGGGAAGCAGTTTTCGCCCTCCCGGAGGCTCAAGAAAAGCCTCCGGAGCCTGGGGAGGGCGAAAAACACCTCCCCCTCGCTGTGGTGCAGGCGGCTGACTAGGCGACGCCCACCATGGCTACGCCCACCCAGCAACCGGGCAGCGAACCCGTTGCTTAAGGATCTGAAGCTCACCCCTGGTTTCCCATCCGAGGAGAAGACGGGAGTAGGGAAGTTCGTTGGGTTTCCTTTGCAACTTCAAGGAGAGGAAAAGTTGGAACCAGCCAAATTTGGATGAGCTGATCCTCTTAACTCTTTGATATGGGAGCTTCTTATTTGTTTTGTCTTGCAAGGCAGGCCAATCTCCACGTCAGGAAGAGACCAAACGGAAGAGTTACGATTCTTCTCCGTGTGTTTCTCGGTATACTTTTAATCGCGCTTTCTATCGTCTGTTGATAAAAACCTTGGGAGATTGGTGGAAGACTGCTGGGCCTGCTTGATCTCAGTGGGAGGTACGGCTGGGGTACCTTTCATCTCCAGATGTTGCTGAAAATGCCCAGAAGTGAAACACTTGTAATTAAGTATGAATCTTTTGTCTTTTCCCCCTCCCCTTCCTTCCAGTTGTCTGCCGAGGGTTTACAGCAGACCGAGGAAGGAAGCGCCTTCCGAGCCTCTTGTAATATTTGGAATGGCCAAGAATTCAAACCAGGCTGAAACCCGACAATATTTTTTACCATCGCCAGTGGATCGCAAAATCAGCTGGAGGTACCAACAAGGAAGGGCAGCTGAATTCTGATTTGTGAGGTCTTCAGTTACCCCTGCTTTCCAAAGACCTATTTTTTTGTCAACCCTTGTCGGCTTCCTGGGTGCAAGTAGATTTCAGGGGCAGGCATATATAGTTGTTGCTTCCGGAGTGTCAGCTTGCGCCAACGTTGTTTAGCTTTTCGGAGGTTGAGGTTGGCTCAATGAGTAGATCACCTGAGTTGAGTTGGCTATAAGTCTAAGATTAACTTCAAGACGTGCCATGTCTTTCAAAAAGAAGCTCGCTCAATCGTCGGTTTCCGGGCAGCTCCAGAAACCCTGCCAAGATTGCAGTAGCCAAACTGGGTTTTGTGGTGCAGCGGTTAGACTGCAGGATTGCAGTCCAGACTCTACCCACTGCCAGGAGTTCGATCCTGACGGGCTCAAGGTGGACTCATCCTTCCATCTTTCTTGAGGTGGGTAAAATGAGGACCCAGATTGTGGAGGGCAATAGACTGACTTTGTAAACACCTTAGAGAGAGCTGTAAAGCACCGTGAAGCGCTATATAAGAGCTAATTCTATTCTATTCTATTCTATTCTATTCTATTCTATTCTATATTCTATAAGTCTTAATTGCTATTGCTATTGAGCATTGTTTACGAGAATTAACAAGCTGTGGGATCGATACGACACCTGGTTTGAATAGAAGTTACTCTCTGAGTCCTTCCATGTAGGCCCGTGATGGCGAACCTGTGGCACGCGTGCCAGAGGTTGCACGCAGAGCCCTCTCTGTGGGCACGTGTGCTTTTCTGGTTTTTGCA